GCTGCTGTAGGTTTAAAGCAAAATCGAACTTTCTGCAGTGTTTTATATTTTAAAATCCAATAGAAATGTTTTTCTATGATTTCTAGCCTCTTCAGTACTTTTTCCATTAATTTCAGTTTTTAAATCTTCGAACAAGGAATTGCTTTGCCTGAAGCTCTGAAATGCCAATGCATAATTGAAAGTGCTGGCCAATTATTCGTTCGCCTGGTCTGGTCCAATGGAATCATGATTCATGGTCTTTCGGCCTTCGTCGAGGCTTTCGGCTTCCTGAGCGGCAGAAAAGTCAACACTTTAGTGCAATTCTGAGCAATTAACATTGACAGTAAATATGGAATTTGAGCAGGAATGCCTACGAGGCAGGAGTCGGGCTCCTAGCTACCTGACACATCCTGCAACGAGTCAACTTCATTTGCATGAAAGTCGGCAGGGTTCATCAGCATTATTTCCCAGTAGGCCGGCGGCAGGCAGGATGCAGCAGGAATCGGAACCTCTACAGCATCTCCTCCAGGCCACCCCAGGTGCTCCATCTCCTGTGCGTGTTACTGTTGGACCTGGAAAGCATATATACATATATGTTATGTGGGAAAAAGAGGCAAGCAGGAGGCGGTTGCCGTGTGCGTGCTCGTCAATGACAACTGGAAATTAGTTTAATAGTCCGACTTGAAGTCGAAGTCGCAGAGCCAAAGGTAAACACTCACCGAAAGCAGCGTTTGTTGATATAGTTATGCCGTTATTTTTTTTATGTACACACTTGAATGTATATTTGTGTGTTATGTGTGGAATAAAACCAATAACTGTGATACGTGCAACTGTTAAATTAAGTTAATCACACGGGAACAAGTCATATTTGTGTGGGGCGATTCCTTGGACTTTGGAAAAGTGACAGCCATGAGTTGAACTCCTTCCAAATTAGCCTAATAAGGGGCTGGCAACGTAGTAATCACCTAAATAAATAAAGGATTCCGCGGATTCACAGCTTGACAAAGGGAAATCATAAATCGAATTAAACCACACAGCTGCCAAATAATTTCCACAGCTTTTATTTGCACAACTTTCAATCTTTTAAACCACAAAAAAAAAGAAGAGAATGCAGTTAAATCGAAGCTCCAAAAATCCCATTTGAAAATCCAATTTGATAAATAGAAGGCAATAAATTCAATAAAAGTAGAGTCGGTCCAAACCCAAAAGCCCTAACCAAATATTTCCGCATTTGCGCAAATTTAGAGCACAAATTAGCAATCTGCCCGGATTTATGAAATATGTGAAAATCGTGACAACAATAACAGAGCCGGATCCAATGGCAACATTAACCCCTGCAACATTTCTGGCTGCTGCTGTTGCAACTCTTCCTCCCCCTCAGCCAAAAAAAAGTATATATATATATATTGAAAAAGGAAACCCAAACAGCTGAGTAACTAAAAATGAAGCCAATATAAAGAGCGAGAGCCGCAATAAAAACTGGGCTCGGTCCGAGCTGGAAAAGTCATTGCCCAAAAAGGGGGAAGTTTGGAAGCCTGGTATTTAGGGGGTGGCTCAATAGCTGCTGTTTTTGGGTGGTACGGGTGGGTGGTTTATGCTGGGCGTCATAAGTGCATAAAATGCTTTTGTGCCTCGCACAAAAAGCGAAGCGAAAAGTTTAATTTTCTCGCAGGCGATGGGCGAGTGTGAGTGCCGGGTAACCAAATCCGTTTAGATCGAAAACAGCTACAACAGCAGCAGCAACAAAAAAATATATAAAATGTATAATAAATGTAACAAATGACGCACACGGTGGGTAGCCCAAAATAAGAGTAATGCAGGATGGGTGGGTGCACTCCAAGAAAAAGTATCTTAAAAATTTATAAAATAGTAGTGAAATAATTATAAAAAATATTTTGAAAATGTCTACGATATGTTTAGTTTAAAAAAAACCAATTTGAATTACAATTTTCTTTCATAATACTTAAGGAATATATTCTTTAAAATATAGCCTTAAATGATTCTACTCCTAAATTAAGTGTTTAACTTTTAAAACAAAATATTTCCCTTTAAAAAACTTTCATATTAATAAGCATATTTCAGCCTTGTCTTCCTCTCAGTGTAGATTCTGCCTCCGCTCCGGTTTCCCTGGCAAAAGGGCGTTTGCCATTTCAGATTAATGCCCGGCGGCGTCACCGTCATATGAGAAGAACGATCGTCCCCGTGTGTATGCACTTATTTGACTAATGTCTTTAATAAAAAATTACACAAATTGCAAAGGAAAGTGAAAAATTGGCAGTAGAGCCGAGCCCATGCCTGTAATTCTTGCGGCTTACAGAAATGTAACATTTCGTGGGGAGCAGCTACTACCCCCAGGAGAACGCAACCCTTACTCTATTTTTTTTTAATATTTACTAATATTGACAATACTTAAAAATTTGGGAAATACTTGGGGTGGAAGTTGAACCAATGGGCCATGGTAACCAGAAACTTTGACATATTTATAGTTGACAGTGGCTGGGGCAGGGGGGGGTGGCAGGAAATAAAACCCAACCTTGACAATTGTAAAGTGGTGGAACGGTCGGATGGATCGGTCGGTGGTGGGTTGCGATGGGATTTACACAGTTTTTCAAGTGCTCGCAAAGCGACCGCCGCCCATTTCGGTCCCTTGGTGACTTATTAAGGGTTGCATTTAGCGGGCTTTGTGTCATTTCATATGCAAATTGGATTAAAAATGAATCGCATTTTACAATCCCGTATCTGTGTCTGTTTTTTGTATATTTTCTCGGGCGTTTTTCTGGCCACGCGCTTCCCAAATTAGGTCGCGTCTTATTGGCATAATGCCATAAATAACATTTCCTATTGCCCATTTATTAACTGGGAAAATGCCTTTGATGTTGACAATTTACATGGAGGCGCGTTCCGCGTTGCGCATTTTGCCCAATGCTAAGATGCCCAATGGCAACCCTAAGCCTATCAAGCGATTAAGTTTTTCCAGATGCTGGTAGAGTCTGATTTGATTAGACGTCTTGTTTAAGGTTGCTAAGCTCATGTCCTGCAATTAAATATGGAAAACTCAAACAATTGGACTTGACATTTCCGATGGGGGGAAATAACTCTTACTTTGACAGCTCAGGGAATTGAAGAAAAATAAGAAAGAACGATATAGATGAGGGCTTTATAAGGTATTGTTGTTTTCTATAGTAAGGACATAATTGTCATAGTTTTATGACTTTTGTTCTCTAGGAGTTTCTGCTATTCTAGAAGTTTTAAGGAACATTTTGATAACTAAATAACTTGTATCTTAGGATATCCCAAGAACTATGAATTCATAGCTAAAAGATACTCCTAAACACAACCTGATATAACAAATGTTTTTCCAATTCCTGTTGTTTGTACTTAGTTACCTATCTAGTGGCCCGTAACCACTACCAATTAACCACTTTGAGTACCTTTAACCACCACTTTCCACACTTCATAAGCGGGAAAATAACAAACCATTTACAAAACTCAATATCATGATTTATGCATCCTGCTAGCTGACAGCGATTTCTTGGAACCCCGAATCGATCTCGGACATGTTTGGTAAATGTCCCTGGCAAAGAACCTGGCTCGGGTCCTTGGCCTGCAGCTTGCGTTTCCTGTGTGGGGCTCCTGGCCATGTGTCGTGTGCTCATTTGACTGCCGCCTGTCACAAGCAGCCCATTAATGGTTTTTCGAAATTATCCTTTTCCCGCATTGTCCTTAGCCAGAAAGAGATTTATGCCCTTCCATTGTTGGTTATTATTATCATCATGGCTCATGGCTCTTTTAGGGTTGCTCTGACTTTCACCTGGCCAAAGGCAAAGGCACAAATTTGTGGGCAGGACGACTGCCTGCTAATCAGATCTTCAGAGCTGTAACTCGACTCTTCTCGGCGATTTGTCAAAGAGAAGTGTACAGCCATATTCAGATTGTAATTCTATATTCTATAGAAACCCTATTTCTGTTCCTACCCCCCGCCTGACCCCGATCTCTGATCTGTGGTGTAGCGCGTGTTTTCAACAGTTTGTTGCAGATTTTGTGCATTTATCATGAGAGTGCGGTTCGGCAACCCCCAAAAGTTTTTCGGTGGGAATGGGAAATGTAACGCGTGCCGGGGCATGTGGCTTGGGTTTTAGTATTAAATTGTTTTGCGGTCGCTCTGATAATCGGACAATCGTACAATATATTTTATTGGAGTGGCTTCAGTCCCTCGGAGGGCATTTTCCTATTTGCAGTTCATGTATAATTTAAATGAAATATCTCTGCCAATTGCTGGCATTAATCAGGCAAAAGTTGAGAGGTTCAGAGGTAAATAACACTTCCTGGGGACGGTCAGAGTGTCGTTTCTCTGTAGAAACCGGACATAATCAGAGCTTTCCCAGCCAGGTTTCAGGCTGCCCACTTCATCACCATTTCCCTCATCATTCTATTTCACTTTGGGGTAGATCAAACTTTCCCTGCCCTATTCTCTACCTCCCGAAAACCGAAAATGACTGCACATTTGTTTTCCCACAGCAGAGTCCGTTATTGATCACATTTTTTTGTGTGCCGAAAAATACATATTTTCGAAACCTTTTGGCCACTCATAAAACGCAAACACAGAGAGAGAGAGTTCTGTTGGGGCCATGATAAATATGAAGCTTCCGGTTGGGGTAACTAAGACATCGGCAGGCAAATGAGGAGTCCGCCGGCTCCTCGGAGAATAAGAGAAATGGCTGCAATGCATACGTCATTTAACCCCTTTGCGCCATATTTTTCATAAGCTGCCCCACTTTGGGTGATTTCTATTTTTTTGGCCACACACGGACAGACATCGTCTGGCTGCCTGGCTGTCTGGCCAAAGGATGCGTATCCTGGCGATAAAATATGCGAAGGGGCGGCTGGGCCGCACGTATAGAGACATTTATTGATAGATAGCAAACGCATCGCTTGAACCCTTTTACATTTGATGAACGTATCGAATTCCCCACATATTGCCAAAAGCGGCAAATTTATGGCTGTTTGATTTATTTTAACTTTTAACACGCCCCAGCAAAATGCTGCCAAAGAGGCGTGCCGAATGGAGTTGAAAGTGTGGGGGAGTTACTCAGTTCCGGAGTCCAGAATCCTGATTCCTGGTTCCCAATTCTCGATTCATATGGGGTAGTTCCCCTTGACCCCTGATCCGAGCGCCACAAATCTCTTAATAACTCCAAGGAGCCCTCTCGAGTCCGAGAAATTGGTTTCTCTGCCATTATTGAAATGTGCGCTTGTTGCGGATCTATAAAAAGAATTATAAACTCCCTTTATTAAACGACTTTATTTTATGTGCTGCATAAAAGAGAGTAATTGAATGGAAGCTTGAAGTATACAAAATAATTTTGGGAATAAACTTCATGGGGGAGTTTATATCACATTTTTTACTATCATATTTTCCTTTGATGTTGAGTGAGGTATTTTTTTTTTAAATAGGAATTTTTTTAATGTGAAGTTTTATTATTTTTTTGGCAAATATTTAACAGTTTTTCTAAGCATATTTGATATATAAAGATTGGATATTATTAATTTATTTATAAGCAAACGAAATAAGCTGTTAAAGATGTACAAAAAGGAAACTTCCTACATATAGTCTTTAAATAAATATAAATAAGTATACGTATTATACATAAAAATATAAATATAAATGAAAATATTGAACTTTAAACTTGCTTTCTCATAGCTAAATATTTTGTAGTAGTTAACCCAAACCCACTAAATTCTTCCTTATTCAAAAACTTTCTTTTGTTTCTAAAAATTATCTATTAAATTTCTTCAAAAATATTAAGGTAAAAAGTAATTCATTTCCTGGTATTATGCGGTGTCCCGTAGAGGCTTTCAATTTACTTCAGTTCGTTTGCACCCGATTTGCGATTCCGGAGCCGGCATAAAGGGCTCATCAGCGTTATTAAACCCGGCGCTCCTTCACCTTCCGCCTACCTCAATTCGCGGAATCCGGTCCAATCACAACTCCACACCATTTGCGTATTACGCTTCATTATGCAGATTTCTTGCCGCCGGTTGAGTTGAGTCGAGTTGAGGCGCGTTCTTTATCCTCCGCTCCGCTTATTTGTTATTGTTGCATGGCTTGCGGCTTGAAAAAATATTTTTATTTAATTTATTTATGAATGAAGCGCCGGGGCGGTGGGTTCGGTTGGGTGGTTGGTTTGGTTGGTGGGGTGTTTCGGTGGGTTGGTTGGTTGGTAGGCCTGGTAATAAAGGCACACACACTCCCCGAAAGCGCAAACCCATTACCATTTTGCTGGTGGTGCCTACCGCATTGTCACATAGATAAGCCGCGTCTGGCTTAACTCATAAAAAAGTGCCGGCAAAAGGATAATAAACCAGCGCGAAGGAGCGAACGCGTGCGGATTTAAATTTCAACAAAAATAAACAGCAAATAGTCATGAACGAGGGAAAGAAACCACTTAGAAAATAAAGGATAAAAATTAGAGAAGTTTTCAAATAAAGTAAAATTTTAAATACTAGCTTAAAATTATTTTTTTTTAATTTGGATATATAATGATATAAAATAAATCAAAAATTTAAGCTAAAAATTCCTTTAAATAGTTTCTTTTCTCCCTTAAAATTTTGAAACTCTTTTTCCGCTCTCATTCGAATTTTTTTCTCCTGATGTACATATGTTTGTAGGTAAAGTAGAGCCCGAGGTTGAAACACAGCCTTCATGGCCATTGTGGGAAATATTTAAAGTCTACACACACACACAACAACAACTAGCATTTCCAAAACGTTTTCAACTCTAGTTTCGCCTCAATATAATGACAATAATCAAAAACTCTCAGAGCCAACGTTTTCGTCTCGCCTTTTGTTATTTGCCGCCCCACAGGCCGAGGCTGAGAAATGAATTTAAAATCAATTTGCGGTCAGCACACAAAAGCAGCCATGAGGTAAACCGCAAAGACAACAATTAAGCGTAACAAATGATTATGAATAGCCATTTTTCTACGCACGGTATGGTATGTTCTTCGGTGAGAAGCAAAGCCCGAATGTAATGATATTTCTGACAGGGCTTGGCCGGCACAGATGATGGGTCGATGAATGAATGAAACCAAGGAATTTCAAATACTACACATGCTTACTGCCTTGTGAATGAGTAGAGTCGACGACAGAATGTCTGAGAAAATTTCTGGGCGAGATTCTACTCTAGTTTAGAGGGTTTACTCATGAGACGGTACCATATACACACATATATCAAGGGGATTATGTTATTGAAATACCATAGAAATAAGTAGAATAAAAAAAAAGAAGGCAAAAAATATGAATTCAGAATTTAATATATTTTTAAAAAGTTAAAAAGTCTTTATAAGACATTAGTTGAGAAGGTTATATAAAAAAATCCTTCGAAATAAAAGGTAAAACAATTAAATAAAATATTTTAAAGCTGACAGATTAGCATATAAATACAGAAATTGTAGAAAAACAGTACATTTAATAATTAAATATATATTAAAATATTTTTTAATGAATATTTTATTGCTTAAATTCATTTGTTTAATATAATATCAACACATTTCTTTATGTATTATATTTATACAGCTTACTCCAGTCACATTTTCTTGTATTGTCAAGTGCTTCAAAGACCTAAAAATAGCAATAATATACATACGTGAAAACACGTGGAAACATCAAAAGGTGTGACGACATCACCATAAGCTAAAACCCGTTCCAACAATAAATATAAGCAGAACCTAAAAATAGACTCCACATGGCAGGCAAAGCGAATGTAGACATCTTCACAGCCAGGCCCCTGGCTCTTCGTCGGCATTTGCTGCTCGTTGCCCAACTGCCCGGCTAGCTCAGTCGGTAGAGCATGAGACTCTTAATCTCAGGGTCGTGGGTTCGAGCCCCACGTTGGGCGAAACGAAATTTTTTGTTATTTTTTTTCATTATATTCTTTTCTAATACATTGCTCATTTTTAATCAAAAAACATTATTCTATACCAAATCATTTTTTTTGTGTAATCCTTTCAATACCTTTTTATGTGAAATTGGCAAAAGGGCATTTAAAAAATTGGCGACCGCATTGAATATTTAAGGCCTTAAAAAAATTCTATTAAATTAATTTGGCTGACAAATATTTGTTGAATGTGTGCAAGTGAAAGTCATTGTTCGGATTACACAATATACGCGCATGCATAATTGCACAACGGTTCAAAAGCGTATGAAAAATTCAAAAAAAGTGCCCGAAAAGCGGGAAACCAGGAAGATCCCGAACCCCTTCTCTACCAGCCGCGGGACAATTTATAAATTTAACAAAAAACCTCACACAAAGCGGTCTGTGAACGGCAAATAGAGGAAGAGCACACACAGTCGTCGCCCATTCTCTTCGTTTTATTCTGTGTTCCATGGAATATTTTCAGTTTGCAGTAAAAATTAGAGTGGGATAAACAAATACATTTATTACATGCGAATACAGCCAACAAATCCCAACCAGTCCAGGTTTTATTGTGCGTGCCACGCCCCCCACAGCCAGGGATGGCCAGAGGCAACGGGCGGGCGGGCGTTCGGTCGGTTGGGCAATACACGTGACTTTAAAGCTCAGGGGATTACATTGAACGCAGTTTTGTGTGGGATTTTCGTATGCAAAAAGCTTAGGAAATTAATGCGCAGAAGGAAATGCATTTAAATTATGTGGGTGAGTGAGTCGCGGTGGAAGGAGGCGTGGTTTTTCGCCGGCAGAGGTGTCCGCCGTGACGGAGGGACAGACAGCTGCCAACCGCCCGCATTAATTTATAATTTCGCCGGAGGAGGTTTACACATTTAATGGCATTGGCCTGGCACTGGCTGTGGCAACGGCGGCAGCGTCGGCTTACAAATGAATACAAATTGCAGTTTGAACTTTGAGTTTACAATTTTGTAATTAACGGCCAACATTTTGCATCATAATTCCCTGCGCAGTGAAAGTATTTGGGAATTTAATTAAGTTGCATTGGCCACGCAGATTTATCCACGCGCAGCAGCAGGGTGGCGTGTCCTTTCTTCCTTTCTGCCAACCCTTTGGCCGCAGAATTTCTTGAGCAAAAGTTTTTTAATACCCCAGAACGTCCAGAAGGGGAACACATAAATTTTGTCGGCTCGGGCAAATAAACATTATACAGCAGTTTTTTAAACGTTATTGAAAGGAACACTGTCCCTCAGGGTTGGCCTGGGCTGGGCTGGGTTGGGTCCTGCCTCGTAATACAGAGGTCAAACGTAGGAAATCCAGCCAGATTACACGATTTGCTGTTCGGCAAAGTTTTTACATTTTAAGCCCTGTTGATGGGTACACTGGGAAAATAACATTTTTATTTAAAACAAGAAAGAAAGCTAACTTTGCCAGCCAAAGTTTGTATACCCTTGCAGGTAACAATTAAAATATATCATAACTAAGCCAAAAATGCATTAATTTCGATTCGGAAAGCAGTTTTGTGTTAGTTTTCATAAATGTAAAAAAACTGCATACCAAATTTAAAATTTTAAGAAATCAAAATTTTATGCCATTTTTGCAAATTTTAATGATCAATTATCAAATTTCGCAAAAATGGCCAAAAAATCGATTTTTTCCGGACATGTCTAGAAAGATTACCCTGTTGATGCTGATCAAGAATATATATACTTTATAGGGTCGGAAATGATTCCTTGACTTAGAAAAATATTATTTTGTATTATAAAATCTGATTTTTTATATTAAAAAACTTCTTGATTTTTTTAAAATTAAAAATATCATAACTCGGCCAGAAGAGCATTAATTTTAAATCGGAAAACTGTTCTGTGCAAGATTTTCTACTATTAATAAATATGCATACTTCATTTAAAAATTTTGAAAATTCAATTTTTTATCAAAATCAAAAATATTAATGATGTAACCCCTTATAAAATTTTGCAAAAATGGCAAAACAATCGATTTCTTCCTGACATATCTAGAAAGATTCCCCTGTTGATGCTGATCAAGAATATATATGGTTTATGGGGTCGGAAAGGTCTCCTTCACTGCGTTGCAAACTTCTGACTGAAATTATAATACCCTGCAAGGGTATAAAAATAAAGAATGTATTTTTAATTAGGAATTGAAATGGTGAAAACTTCAACCCTGAATACAGTTTAAAATATTTATCTAGATGTAAAAAGTATTTTTCTATTTAAAATATAAAAACAAAATATCGATAAATATAGTACCCAATAGTTATTAAATTTCATATTAATCTAATAAAAATTCTTTGCGTGTATGTCTGGGCAACCCTTTTGGCAGCCACAGTGCTGATTTGACTCACCTTCTGCTGACGTATGACATTGCAGCATCAATTGCTCATGAGCACACGTAATGAAATCGCTTGGAGAATGGATGGATATATGTAGCTGGGATGGGAGGGCTTGGCTTGGAATGGGGATATATTTCTCGGCCGAGGTTGAGGGCATGTCGCTGTTGCCCTTGGTCATTAACAGCGTTAAGCCCGGGACCAGACCGCGCCGGAAGGATGTCGTGGCCGGGGTGACGTGTGTGTTTGCACCGACCCACACACACACCACACACCCATCCTCCATTCATCCATCCTGCGAGTCCATGAGCGTTGTCATTAGCGCTGCTCGTGCGCCGTTATCCCTTTTTAATAAGGTTTACTCAGCATTTTTTTGCCGGCTTGCTTCGTTTTTCATTGTTTGTTTGCCGGGAAACTCGATCTCCCCTCTCCGCACTTCCATTGCAGATATGTTGTGTTTATTATGCGAGATTTGCGAGAAATTGAACTCAGCCTCCGCCGACCCTTTGCTCGAGTTGAGCATCAATCAACGTTAAGATTAATAATGGGAAAAAGTTCAGGAAACCCTGCTAGGCAGCTAATTGTAAATGTTTTATAATTTGTTGAGTCTTTGAAATATTTAGAGTAATTTTAAATTAGAAAAAAAAATATTTTTAAAATACTTCAAATACTTATTAATTATTAGCAAACATGTGTTTATCATAGCTTTATGTATTTAAAACAAAATAGACTGCAGAAAAACCTCTGCCAGCTCTTCACCTTCCCATTAATTGGTATGTAGCGATCGTAGGCCTTGCAAAATAACCCTATTATTATGCCAATACCTCTCTTATAGATAAATCAGAGTTCTGATGGTGGTTCTGAGGAAAGAAGACCCTATTTGGACCGACCGAGTTCATTTGATTCACACTCACGCTCTGCTCTGCCACACACACACCTTGTAATACACAACTCCTCCTCGGGATGGCTTTATTCCGCATTCGCCATTTATGGACGACTATTTCCTATTGTGCACAGTGCCATCCATCGTGTGGCCCGATGAGCCATTAACCATTATCTAACCAAATATGCAATGCACTTGGCGATGCAATCAGCCTGCCATTGCCTCGACTAATCTGCCTACGTGCCGCGCACACCACATCGCAATGCCCCTCAAAAAAAAAAAAGAAGATTTAATAATGGGCAAAAACCATGAGCGTGCACTAGAAATTAAATTGTTATCAAATCGATCAAAGCCACAGCATCATTATCTCTGCATTAGTTGCTGAGGCAAAAGCAAAAAAACCCGGCAGAACAAAGACAAGGCAAAAAAGGGCTGACGCAAGGAAAACTCGCTTGATAAGCGATTTAAAATGCAGCGAACCAGCTGGAAAAAGCAAGGGCTGGTAGGGGGTTTTTTAAGTTGCAAACCCCACTCCCCCCCCTTTTCGAGGGCGCTGTGTTGCTGAGTGGGTTTCGTGTCCGGCGCCTGGACACAGCAATAACTTCTAATTAATACACGAAGAGCATAACGAAAGCTAATTATGAAACTAATGAGCTTGTTGGCAATGCAACAGCGGCGACGGCGGCGGCAGCAGCAACAAGAACCAGACCAAGAAGCACGAATCAGCCAGGAGCAGACCGACCAACTTGGCCAGCTGAAAGTGGAAGGTAACCAGAGGGAGGGTACGGTGGAAAAGGGGGCTCTGCTCCAAGTGTTAACGACGGTGTGCACAACATGCCGAGCGCCGCTCCAGGTGCGAAATACCACAGAAGAGTAAGCGCGAACGTTTCCACTCGACTAGATGCACTGGAAGAAATTACTAGAAAAAGAAGAAATTGATTAAAAAGATGTTTGAATAAAAATAAAGAAATTAAAGATTGAAAACAGAATAATTTTGAGAAATATGTAGGAAATTCTGAGAAATATTGATTTTATTTTAATGAAATTTTATTTATTTTTGATATGGAATATTTGGTTTATTCCATTAAATATACATTTCTTTCTCTGCATCAGCTTGTACGCAGATATTTCATTTCAATTTCCTTTTTGGCTGGCGCGTCTTTTTAGCATACTTGATTATGGTCTTTGGCCGGCAAAAGGAAAGGAGGCAAAGAAGATGGGGCTGGGCTCTGGACGTCGCCGGCCATCAGTCACTTATGCTCATGGGCCGTCACTCAAACCGGGCTCACACACACACACACACACAGCACACACTCATCATGGCACACACAACGCCCCAGCGATGGTCCACACCTACCTCCTCTAAATAACAGAGCGGGACGTGGTCTCGATGGACAGCAGCGGAGAGCAGCGGCGGTGGGGCCCAGAGAAGACCACGATGACTTCGTTCCACGATTGGGATGGTTAGCGTTGTTGCTCCGTCCGGTGAGCCGCCGCTACTGTCATTATCTTGTTAACTTGTTGTTACGTCAGCCGGCCAGCGAGTCTGCCAGCGAACTTGCATGTAAGCGACGGGAAGGACAGCAGGGATCGGTGGGTTGGAACTCGCACAGTAACTCAAATGGAACTATTACAATTATCAAAGTAATATCTTGGAACATGAATGTAAATCTGAGTGTCGCGAGATAGGAAAACGGAAAGTGGAAAGGTTTGTTTAGAATACATTTCTGCAATAATGAGCAAAACTACAAAACTTAAAGAGGTTTTTCACAGGGAAATTATATATTTAGCTCACCAAATATGACTCTTTAGAATAACAAAATGTAGTAAATTTTCTTTATAATTTTTTCCCAATTTTTTTTTAGTTTATAAATAAGATTTAAATGACAAATTTAACTATACATGACATTTTACCATATATATGTTTTATTTCTCTTTATAAATTCCCTAACAAAAATAAAAATCTCATCTCCATTTCTCTTGACCGCGAGTGTTGAGTACCCTGAACCCACATTAGTGCTCACTTACAGCGTCATCGTGTGTATCTCGCTTAAATTCGTCTGGCCAGGCCCAAAACCCGTACTCGTACTCGTACCCATACCTCTTTCCAGTCCAATTCCCATCGCCTGTGCCCTTGCCCCTGCCCCTGCTCCCTGCCCCCGTCCATGGCCTTTCCCGATGTGTAATAATAATATACACACAGGTGTCCCAGGCTCTTTTGGCCAAGGGGGCTATGCCAGCTTCGTACCTCATCAATAAGCCTCGGAGGAGGGAAGGGCCCAGAGCCGGGCATTGGCGCTGCATGTAGCACATGTAGCGGCGATTACGCGTAATAATCATCATAATCAAAAGTCGCAACACGAAATGAGTTTCGACTTGTTGTGGCCGCTGCTACCTTCTGGAGGATAACCAGTTAGGGATTGCGCCGGTCCCGCGCTCCACATAGAATTGATTAATATTGGCCCTGGCCATCGGAAATGCGCCGGGACCCGAGCCCTCTGATTACGACACGACATCGCCATAGTTACCAGTGGAGGAGTTCCATTCTAGCTAAGAGGTAGGAGGTGCCACGGTCCAGTTCCTGACCCATCAAACTAATTTGGCGGCATCAATCGGCGTCGGCAGCGGCGGCGGCTCACTGGGAATAACGTTGGCCCAGGCTCGCAAATGGATTAGGACCGGGGGGGCCAGCGATAATTAACATTAGCCAAGAGTGGTAAATAAAAAACTTTCTTCATCATATGCGGAAATTATTCCCGTGCCTCTGCCGGAATGCTGTGTAATTAAGGGGTTCAGGAAGCTCATAGTGTGGAGGGGGGGTAGGTGCCATTTAGTACCTCATATAGAATTATGATATAGTAATTACGCGGGGGTGGTGTGGCAATCAGCTAGGATTAAATATGGCTTTGCTTATAGAGTTTTCTTCTGAATCATTGTAAAATTCCTGATATTACAGCTGTCTCTTGTACACTTCATATATCATCCTAGCTCTCAGCTTTATACTTTATATACCTGTCCATCTCCTTGAGCTCTTTTATGGGCCTGAGACACTTTGTAACCCAGCATGTACGGGCCACAATCTGGTTGCGGCCACCAGATCAGACACTAGCCAGGCCAGGTAATTCCTGGCTAGGAGAACCATTTTGGCTCTGGCTGGCTTTTCGTGTTTTTTTTTTTCGCCGCAACTCTATAAACACAAAAAATAATAATTAACTGACCATCAAATCAACAGCACGTACTCCCTACGTGAGCATAATTTCGCTCCCTGCACACCTTGATTGCCGATTTCGATATGTTCGGAGCTACGTGCGAAAACGAGAACTAAAAGTTGACCTGCCTGAGGCCTTCTTGCCTGAACCTTAGGTCCGTAGTCCGTAGTCCGAGCCCTGGGAAGGGGTGATGCTGGAGACATTGGTTTAAGTGCGTTCGCCGCATAATTAATATGGCGAAATGCGGACAGGACAAGGCTGTCATTGCAACCGGGGGTCCAAGTCCAAGTCCTGCGCATTTGCATTTGATTTATCCCTCAGTAGCCGGGACTCGAACTCTCAGGCGGTCATAAAACTCGGCTCAAGTGCAAATGCGCTCAAATCTGCACTTAGAACCGCCCCGGAGTGAGTGCGAGTGTGTATTCCTATAATTAAATTGAAAATTACTGCCAAGCAATTGCAATTGTCCACCCGAGTGGACCTTAATAATGGGTTTGTGTGTGGCCCTAATCATTGTCTGTGCATCTGTCTGTGTCTCGGAGACCAAAGTCCTTGTCCGGCGAAATGTTTCGGGGGTTGGGCCACGCATAAGTTATAAATTATGCATCTATGCATAATTTACAGCCGTAAGGTCAGACAGTTGCATTTGCCAGTTCACTGCCTAGCCGGCCCCCAAGCAGTCGCACTTTATATATATAAACTTGAGCCTTAGAAGTGCGTAAGAGTTCAGAAATCATTAAAGGGGAGGAAATGAAGGTATTGCATTAATAGCACATATTTTTAACAAGCTCTTAAAGCTAATTCTTAACTCTGAGAGGAAAAGTAAGAATGACAGGCCAGTCAGTACCTACGCTTAGTCCCTTGAAACCCCACCAAATGAATAGTTTGCCGAGTTATCGCAAAAAACTATTCTCAGATACATTTGTCTAACTTTTTGCACCGCACTCAGAAAGCACTTGAACAGTCAACCACTTCGACAGTGGTTCATTGTACCATGCATGAGTCCTCGCCCGATCCGCTCCTCTTAACCCCCAGGAAGGGCTCTGCTCCAGCTCACTTCAGAACTTGTTTTTGCATCAGTTCGCATCAACCGCATCATTTTGATGTATTTTGCGGTTTGGTTGTTTAGCAGCGCAGTTTTTAGTGTATCATCATCACGAGTTTACACGCACGAGCTGCTGCTGCGTTGGGTATTTTTTTTCTTTCTTTTTTTTTGCATACACTCTATATACACACACCTATAGGAATTAACATACTCGGCGAGTGTATATCCGGATATATGGTATAGCGAC